ATCGATGTGAAGATGGGACATCATCGATGTGAAGATGGGACATCATCTCCACAAGAACTGAGCAGTAATCACTCCTACCAACATATGAACATTGTTGTCATTGTTAATGATATCAGGACTTTTATTATGAAAACCAAAAGAAGTTCACTGTCAGGTCAGAAGGTTATGTCACCCCCAACTATGGCTAGCAATTAAGCATACTCACATACTTTGCTCTCCTATGTACTAGAATTGCAATGATAACTGCAGTAAAACATACCACACACAAAGAATTAATTGTTTTATTGTTCGAGTCAGGAACCAGATATTATAAAACACCAATGTAATTAAGCTTAATGTTTCCTATCAAAATACTTCAGTTTTCCAGCTGGATCTGGAATTATCTGAAAGAAAAGAAGAAATGAAACAAATCAAGGTCATGATATTTCAGAAAAACAACTGCCAGAAGCTTCAGGTTAGCTACTAACAAAGGTGTACAAGCAACAAGCAAAAGGAGCTAAATCTAAATATTAAGCCAGCTGTAGCCCTTTAAGTGATGCTACTATTCCCTTAAATTACAATGTGCTTAATCATATAGTAAACTAAGCGATTTCCTTGCAAAAATTCTTGGAAGAGTTACTCCCTCCTTTAGGCAAAATACAAAATAGGCCACAGTTTGGATATACAATTTCTGAGAGAAAAGAAATTCTTTGCAAAATTGATCATTGCAACGTTTCTGCAAACAATCTTTTTAACATTTCAAAATGTTGTTTGAGAGAAATAATCATTATCAAGTTTGAACAGACCAGAGCACAGTGGTATATGAGCAAATTATTAATGGGACAAAGATGCCTCCTAACAATGGAGAGGAAACAGAAAATCTGAAACAGGCTGAGTGCAGGAAAAGAGTACAATGATGTTGGCAAAACATTTTGGGCCATGTACAAAATTATACAGTAGCAGGTGATGTCCAAAGAGGATTGGGTTCAAGTCAAATCTAAGGTACTCAAACAGCAGACAGAAAGAAAGTGAAAACCCAAGATAAAAGTGGAACTGAGCAGGATACTTAATATACTAAGAAAACAATTGAAAGTGTTATCTTTCCAATCATTAAGAATGAGGCATTGTTCTTTTTCAAAATCAAGACTGTCAGACTGCTTTCTGCATTTACTTGCATTTCCAAAAATCCCTCAATAAGAATCCACCAAGGAGTTATCCAAATTGTTATGGACCAGACACCCTCCCCCCAAAATATAGTAAGGAGATAGCTGAGACCTTAACTTTTATATTCATTTAAATTCAAGTGTGCTGTGTTGCAGATGAAGTTCAATTGGTCCACCACTAGGCTTTAATCAAAACACACTTCATCCTTTCAACGTGGTTAGAATACAAGCGAAAAGAAGAACTGGCATAACCATCTCTATCGAAATACTTAACAAAGTAATGTATTACTTAACCACTGATCATCAACTGTTCCAATATAGGCAGCACCCCATTAACACACTCTTGGCAAGGCAATTTAGCAAAAGTTAAGGTTCTCACGTGCTGCCTCTCTCCAATCCAGCACAATGAAATAAACAGTCTGCCTTTTTTTTAATTTCTAAGAGGAAGTCTCTCAACTAAGACTCTAGCAGCAGAGAAATGAAGCTCTTAGCTCAGCAACCTTCTCACTAACTGAAAGCAAAATCCAAAACCTTCCTGAGTCTGTGTGAGCCCTGACCCCACCCACTCAAGATTCTTTTGTCTCATTAAAACAAAACACCCAGGAATCTGTTTACAACTGCCTGTCTGAAGCAGACATCCTTGCATCACTGTGGCAACACCCCTCTACAAGAGAAACAGCACAGAATACATCCTACTTAAGGGCACAGTACTGTCACAAAACAGAATAGTTTTCGCTGTGTTTGGAGGAACTAGGAAAATAATGTGGAAATTGATAAGAAGAATTCATGGAGGAAACAAAAATAACTTCCCAACTGCTCA